TTTAAGAAATTGTAAATAAATCATAGAGTTGCAGTTTACTATATAATGTAGCACAACAAAACAACTCTGGCTCTGACTTTAGTGATGGTTTAAGGAAAATAATCAATAGGCTTTCTGTATAATTGGGTGAATGTTATTGAGTGGATTTAGTATGCATCCTTTTCATGTATCCTGCATTATTAGCATCACAACTGATATTAGGGTTAGTCAAACAAAACGACTCACTCGTTTCCTATGTAGACATTGGGCCAGACCTCATTGACGTGTGTGTAGGCAACGCTGCCGTGCGTGAGGTGTTTCTCCAGCTCGTAGCCGTTTGGTGTCACATATTCCTCTTTCTCTTCAGAAACCTCAGACTTCACTCCAAACTTCCTCCTTGAGGTCATCTTCAACCACACATTCGATTAAAACAGCATGAGAGGGTAAATATAAGGCCCAAAGGCAGACGCTTAGATGAAAACCAGGCCGAATGCAGAACTACATCTCATTTTACGTGTAAATCAACAGCTGGAGTCTCAGTACTGCTTCTGACTTAAATACCTCTTTCTCTGTATTTTTGTGTTCAGGCTGGGTGGAGAGGTGCTGAGCTGAGTCGACTGCTTTGGTCTGACGAAGGGCCGGAGGTGGGTGTTAAATTCTAGGTTATTTTTAGAGGTCTGTTCCCTCTTTCTCTCACTAGAGAGAGCTGAACCCCCCAAACATGTTTCTCTGCAAATTTCAACCGATGCAAGACATGGCATGAACACCACAGTAATAGTGAACCCAAATTAACCCACTCTATAATGAAGCATCATGATTTAGAATTATTTCCCTTAAAGTCTGAGCCAGAGTTGTTTGTTTGTTCTTCATTTCATAAATGGCAAATCTATCATTTATTTACACATTCTTAAAAGAATAGTTCGCCCAAAATTAAAATTTGCTGAAAATTTTGTCATCCGCAGGCCATCGAAGATTAGGATGAGTTTGTTTTTTCATCAGATTTGGAGAAATTGCTCAGCAATGGATCCTCTGCAGTGAATGGGTGCCGTCAGAATGAGAGTCCAAACAGCTGATAAAAATAATCCATAAGTAATTATCCATCAGTTATCGTCTTGTGAAGCAAAAAGTGCATTTCACCCTTTTCAGCTAAAATACAAGTCCATAATCCATAATATTGCGTTCTCTTGTGACCAACTTGTTTTGACTGAATCAGGAGAGAAATATGCACAGATCAAGCTTGGTTTACAAGCCAAAACAATCCTAAACAAATATGTTTGTGGATTTTGATGAGAGAGGCATTGTTATGGAATATGGACTTGTTAACTGATGGACTGGAGTGGTGTGGATTACTTGTGGATTATTGTGATGTTTTTATCAGCTGTTTGGACTCTCATTCTGACGGCACCCATTCACTGCATTGGTGAGCATGTGATGTAACATGATGCTAAATTTCTCCAAATCTGTTCCAATAAGGAAACAAACTCATCCATATATTGGATGGCTTGAGGTGGTGAGTACAGTTCATTTTCAGCAAATTTTCATTTTCGGGTGATTTATCCCTTTTAAATTAGTTATTAAAGATTCCTCTTTGTTTATACTAATAGATCGCATCTCTTCTCTGCAGGTTGAGGTTGGAGTCCAGCTGACGTAGCTGTTGAAGGAATCCGGCGTTGGGTAGAATGTTCCTCTGGGCACAAACCGCATTGATGGCTTCTGCGACTGTGAGTTTTTCGTATATCATCAGATACGCCAGAACCAGTGTCGCTGAACGACTCACTCCTCTGGCACAATGAACCAAGACCTTCCCCCCTCCTGAAAAACAAATAAAACTACCATCACACATGCAGGTTTAACCGGTTCAAACCCGTCACATAGCTGTCTACAGAACATCAAACGCATTCAAGTAAAACAGGATATTCATTCAACAAGAAAAACTGTAGGGTGCGTCTTTAAAGTGCCCCTATTATGGATTTTTGAAAATTACCTTTCATGCAATGTGTAACACAGCTCTACGTGATTCTCTGAACACGAAGAGGCTTGATGTCCTGATTACATATATTTTTTTATTTTCATGTATATATTTTAATAATTGAAATATAATAATATATTCAAAGCACATTCACAATCTTCATTATATTTATAAATCTGAAATCCTTTTGAACAGACGTTTTATTTTTAACCCCTTCCCTCCTGTTTGTTGCTCTGAAAGCACTACAGTGTTAAACTGTGAATGTTACCTTATTGTGTCTCTGAACATTAAGCAGGAATAGCAGAATTTTTGACAACAAAAATCTGAAAGTGTGTATACTGTTATTGTCTCTCAAAAAAAAGAGTCGACTCTGAATCATTGAAAGGAGTCGTTTTTAAAACGAATCCCAAGCCATTTCATGTTGATGTCAACATGAAACATTAGCATATTGCCCGCCCACTTGTTGGTCTGAAATGCAAATTCATTCTTTGCCACTAGGTGCAGCTTTTGGAGCGGTAAAAACAGCTGTTTCCCCGGTAACGCTGTACACAAAGCAGCACTGCGCTCACAAACCCTGCTTTTATTATGAAATGGAAATTAAATCGACCAATCACCGCAAATGATTGAAAATGAATTGTTGAACAAATTGTTTGGGAGTCTTTGAGCAAATAAGGTAAAAATAAATGCATATTGTAAGACAAAACAAAGTGTTTTTTGACCTTGCATGCATGTCAACCTGTTGTTGGGGACTCCCAAAACCAAAATATGAAGCTTTCATTACCCATAATAGGGGCACTTTAAATTTTACATAAGGAATTGATTGAATTTTGAAGTGTTTTTTATATACCAGAAATGTTATATTTTCCATTTTCAGATTCAAGTAATTTTGTTAAGTGTTTTTTGATGTAACATTATGAAGACAAACACTTTTCTTTGGAATAATGTCACTGAGTAATCATTCACAATGAGATCTAGAATTCAGAAGGCATTCAAAAAGTTAATTCTCAATTTAAAATGCATAAACACAATAATATCCCCAATACGTCAATCACTGAAATCAATGTACAAGTAGTATACTTATTAGTACTATTTCAATACTACTTGGGACTAAATTGGCCTACTTTTTGGTTAAAACAAGTATACTTTTAAGTAGTGTAACAGTATAGTAAACATTAACAACATTTTGTGTTTGTAATGCAACTTTACTACAAGTGAACTTGCACTGATAGTTTGCTAGTTAAATACTTTTTAGTTTATGGAAGTAAACTTTGAAGCATACTCTTAATAAACTTCTAGTTTTGTCGTTTTTAGTTGTAAGTTTTCTTTTTCAGTTTTATTAACCTGAACTATTCTACCCCAAAGCTGACTTGATCATGCAGGTTTGTAAGACAGTATGTAAAACAATGTGGGAAAAGTATTTAATAGGCTACTCAAGCAAAATACTAAACACAACTACAAGCCAAGTACAACACTTAATTGTACTTTTAACTATATCTCATTTAAAAAAATTGAGTACAAGTATAGACCATATATACTTATCTGTACATCAAGTATGTAATTTTAAGTGTATTTCTAAGAATACATAAAAGTATACTTTCTTGTTTTTGAATTTAAAAGAAGTACACTAATAGCACATTTGAAAAACTTCTTTTTTGTAAGGGATTACAGACACGTTCAGAAACATACATGATGCAAACTCATCGTATAAAAGGTCACAAAGTGCACAATGTCTTACTTTGCTGTGCCAGAGCTTCATGAATGAAACTGGCTGTCGGGTAGAAAAATGGTGCGATGTCAAAGTGTCTGCTGTCTGGTGCCTCCACGCCGTGGTACTCTATGTTTGTGTCCCAGTAGAAATCAGCTCCGGTGTGGATGTGAGCGGGTCCGTGTGCAGCGTTGATGACGTGAGTGACTCCTAGATGTCTTAGAAGTGTCTTGTCTTTCGCTGTCGTACTGAGAGAATCACGCAAGAGTTAATTCTGTGCGGTAGCTCTCAAATCTCATTTGCACTCACGTATATTCAAACTTCTGTCATGTGATGCGTGAGGACCAGTAGCATTTGCATGAATTAGATGTTTGAGCTACTACAGTAGAATTAAAAAGTACAGCAGATTCTTGTCTTGTCAAACGTTAAGTGGAAATCATTCATTAGAAGACTAAAAGTGTTGCATTGGAGTCTGGTGGTGTAATACGCACGCATCACTGATGTAGATGTCGGGCCAGACCTCATTATAGGCGCTGGAGGGTCGACGGTTCTTTAGCAGGAGGGTCAAAAGGTCACAGACGGGCGGAGTCTCGTATCCAACATCCTGTTTCTCAACTTCCTGTGTGCTCATTCTTTAATGGGTCGCATTATTGGGAATTTCATTTAGATTGATCTCTTGAAATAAAAGAGCTGGATGTACAATGAGAACATAATGTCATTTTTTGCTTTTTCTGTTCTTGACAAACTCACATGTTGTTTCTCTGAACTCTTCTTCTGTTTCTTCTGCCAGGTCTGTCGTCCCCGTGGAGCCGCGTCTGTGTGTGATTGTGATGCAGTAAGTGATACGTGTCTCTATTTTGGCCTCTTTGCGTGTTGGTAAATATAGATGAGACACAAACAGACAGACAGCTGAGGATCTTTGAGATGTTCATTCAGGTAGAGATGGTTTACATTTTAAATTTGTTCTTTTAATGTATAAAATAATAGAAAATGTATCAAATTATATATTTTAACAAATCTACTTTTTATGTGTTAAAATATATTATTTTATTAAATTCTCTGAACTCTAAGAAGTTTGATGTCATGGTTACATATATTGTTTATTTTTATATATTAAATATATAAATATATTTTATTAACAATCTTCATTATATTTATAAATCTGAAATCCTTTTGAACAGACGTTTTATTTTTAACCCCTTCCCTCCTGTTTGTTGCTCTGAAAGCACTACAGTGTTAAACTATGAATGTTACCTTATTGTGTCTCTGAACATTAAGCAGGAATAGCAGAATTTTTGACAACAACAGAAAATGCAACAACTTTTTAAAAAAAAGAGAGAAATGAAATCCTGTATCAAATCATGTAATTCCATCATATACATGTAAGGCAGATTCTGAATCATGCATTTCTGTCAGGGAATTTTCATAACCGTTCTTCATGTGAATAATTCTGTTACCGTATCTAATGTAGTGTGTTTGTGATTAGTGAGCATGTTAGAAGGCAGCGCTCTGGCAGTGCAGTGTTGTGTCCAGTTCTCTCAGCTGCTCCATGAAGCCGGAGTTTGGGCAGATATTCCTGTGTTGTGAGACGGCTTTAATGGCCTCAACCAGCGTCATGCCCTCATGAATCATCAGATACGCTAAAACCAGCGACGAGGAGCGACTCAGACCCATCGCACAGTGCACAAGCACCTTACCTAGTGAAAAACAAGAAAAATGTCCACAGATTTTTAAGAATTTATCAAAACCATATTTCAGTAAGACAGAAGAAAATTACATTCATTTTTTTATAATTCTTTTTTTAATTAAATCTTAAATAAAGAAAATGGCTATATTTTGCATTAAGAAAAAAATAGGATTTATTTGAGCATTTTGACATTTTCCTCACTCAAATTTGCATTAACAACAACAAAAAAACTAAATTATTTTATTATAATTATAAAAAAAATATTTAATTAAGAAATCACCATCGTGCCAGTTATTGAGATGCTATTATAGTTTTTATTAACAGTAAAAAGTTTTAGTAATTATGTTGTGTGTTTTGTCAATTTTATTAGAATATAAAAAAATATGTCTATATGGCTTTTTTTCATTTTATTTAACTTTTAGTTATTTTAGTACAACAAGGTTTTAGTTTTAGTTAAGTATAATAACCCTGCATTGTGCATAATAAGAATTGCTCAATAGTTAATCATAAAATGACACAAAATGAAAAAATTTTAATGGTCCTAAAAACTGATGTAGCTGATGTGTTTTGTTTTGTTTCCTCTCCTCACCTCCAGGGGTGCTCATGGCAGTCTTGATGAACTTGGCGGCGGAGTAGAAGAAGGGGCTCAAGTCAAAGGAGGGCATGTCAAAGGCCTCCACGCCGTGGTAGCTGATGTTAGTGTCTCTGTAGTAACTGGCTCCTGTGTTGACGCTGAACTTCCCGTGAGCTGCGTTCAGGACATATGTGATGTTCAGAGACTGCAGCAAGTGCTTGTCCTTCGCTGCGTACCTGAATGAGATGCAGTCACAACACATACAGACTGACACTTGATATTTTCTTTTTCTTTCTTTACACATTTATAACAAGATAGGGAGCATATACCAACTTTGTAAGGTACATTGATTAACTAAAAAAGGAGCAAAAAATTGAGTACAATCACTTTAACAAAGATGTAAAACAGATTAAAACAGGGAAAAAAAAAAAAATTTACTCATTAATTTTCCATGATAAATATCTAAACATTCTTAAAACAAGATACATTTACTTGAGAGGCGTACGATATTAAGTCTTGCTTTCTGAATAAATTGTATCAAAATTAAGTGAGTTTTTGCTTAAAATATGAAAACATAATCTTGTTTTCCCTTTAAATAAAGATCATTTTTCTTACCTTATTGACAGTTAAACGAACAAAAACAAACAAACTTTCATTTTTTTTTTTTTACAAAACAAGACTTAATATCTTGAGTATCTTAATATCTTTTTTTTTTTTTTTGCAGTGAATATTGTAAATATTTTTGACAAAGAGGAGGATAAGTTTTCTGTCTTTATACTTTTTTTTTTTTTTTAAGTATTTGACACTTTCTCAAAAAAAAGTTCTCATAAAATCATGAAGAAATAAAGTAATAGCAGGTTTATATTTCTTCCATTAATATGTGTGAATATGATCCTTACTTACCATAATTCCCGTATTCAAAAGGTCAGAAAACTGGGGATTCAAAATATTCTTAAAAACATGCACTCTAAAAAATGCTGGGTTAAATATAACCCAGCGCTGGGTTAAAAAGGGACAAACCCAGCTATTGGGTTGTTTTGACCCAGCGGTTGGGTTCAAAACAACCCAACCGCTGGGTCAAAACAACCCAATAGCTGGGTCTAAACAACCCAATAGCTGGGTCAAAACAACCCAACCGCTGGGTCAAAACAACCCAATAGCTGGGTCTAAACAACCCAATAGCTGGGTCAAAACAACCCAACCGCTGGGTCAAAACAACCCAATAGCTGGGTCTAAACAACCCAATAGCTGGGTCAAAACAACCCAACCGCTGGGTCAAAACAACCCAATAGCTGGGTCTAAACAACCCAATAGCTGGGTCAAAACAACCCAACCGCTGGGTCAAAACAACCCAATAGCTGGGTCTAAACAACCCAATAGCTGGGTCAAAACAACCCAACCGCTGGGTCAAAACAACCCAATAGCTGGGTCTAAACAACCCAATAGCTGGGTCAAAACAACCCAACCGCTGGGTCAAAACAACCCAATAGCTGGGTCTAAACAACCCAATAGCTGGGTCAAAACAACCCAACCGCTGGGTCAAAACAACCCAATAGCTGGGTCTAAACAACCCAATAGCTGGGTCAAAACAACCCAACCGCTGGGTCAAAACAACCCAATAGCTGGGTCTAAACAACCCAATAGCTGGGTCAAAACAACCCAACCGCTGGGTCAAAACAACCCAATAGCTGGGTCTAAACAACCCAATAGCTGGGTCAAAACAACCCAACCGCTGGGTCAAAACAACCCAATAGCTGGGTCTAAACAACCCAATAGCTGGGTCAAAACAACCCAACCGCTGGGTCAAAACAACCCAATAGCTGGGTCTAAACAACCCAATAGCTGGGTCAAAACAACCCAACCGCTGGGTCAAAACAACCCAATAGCTGGGTCTAAACAACCCAATAGCTGGGTCAAAACAACCCAACCGCTGGGTCAAAACAACCCAATAGCTGGGTCTAAACAACCCAATAGCTGGGTCAAAACAACCCAACCGCTGGGTCAAAACAACCCAATAGCTGGGTCTAAACAACCCAATAGCTGGGTCAAAACAACCCAACCGCTGGGTCAAAACAACCCAATAGCTGGGTCTAAACAACCCAATAGCTGGGTCAAAACAACCCAACCGCTGGGTCAAAACAACCCAATAGCTGGGTCTAAACAACCCAATAGCTGGGTCAAAACAACCCAACCGCTGGGTCAAAACAACCCAATAGCTGGGTCTAAACAACCCAATAGCTGGGTCAAAACAACCCAACCGCTGGGTCAAAACAACCCAATAGCTGGGTCTAAACAACCCAATAGCTGGGTCAAAACAACCCAACCGCTGGGTCAAAACAACCCAATAGCTGGGTCTAAACAACCCAATAGCTGGGTCAAAACAACCCAACCGCTGGGTCAAAACAACCCAATAGCTGGGTCTAAACAACCCAATAGCTGGGTCAAAACAACCCAACCGCTGGGTCAAAACAACCCAATAGCTGGGTCTAAACAACCCAATAGCTGGGTCAAAACAACCCAACCGCTGGGTCAAAACAACCCAATAGCTGGGTCTAAACAACCCAATAGCTGGGTCAAAACAACCCAACCGCTGGGTCAAAACAACCCAATAGCTGGGTCTAAACAACCCAATAGCTGGGTCAAAACAACCCAACCGCTGGGTCAAAACAACCCAATAGCTGGGTCTAAACAACCCAATAGCTGGGTCAAAACAACCCAACCGCTGGGTCAAAACAACCCAATAGCTGGGTCTAAACAACCCAATAGCTGGGTCAAAACAACCCAACCGCTGGGTCAAAACAACCCAATAGCTGGGTCTAAACAACCCAATAGCTGGGTCAAAACAACCCAACCGCTGGGTCAAAACAACCCAATAGCTGGGTCTAAACAACCCAATAGCTGGGTCAAAACAACCCAACCGCTGGGTCAAAACAACCCAATAGCTGGGTCTAAACAACCCAATAGCTGGGTCAAAACAACCCAACCGCTGGGTCAAAACAACCCAATAGCTGGGTCTAAACAACCCAATAGCTGGGTCAAAACAACCCAACCGCTGGGTCAAAACAACCCAATAGCTGGGTCAAAACAACCCAACCGCTGGGTCAAAACAACCCAATAGCTGGGTTTGTCCCTTTTTAACCCAGCGCTGGGTTATATTTAACCCAGCATTTTTTAGAGTGTGGTATCTTCTTAAACTAAGGAATGAATATTAATAATTTTCATAGTAGTACAATGAAAAAGAAAATGGATGTAGAAACCGTTTTTACTCAGAAATTGCTAGTAAATTTCACAAATATTGCAAAGAATTTAAATATGAAAATTTGAAGTAGAAAGACTGAAATAGTATTTTTTTGTAACAGTGTTCTACAGTGTAGAAAATGTGTTCAGAAAAAGAAAAGCATCTTACATGTCTCCGATGTATATTCCAGGCCTGACCTCGTCCATATGGCCGCTGGTTCCAGCTTTGACCCACAGGAGTCTCTGGAGCTCAGAGGCTGGAGGAGTCTCGTAGCGGGGCATGTCGGCCCACCGCCGCTGCTCAACGAGAGACCAAACCAACACCAGGAGGTCAAAGTGAAAATGTCATTTATGATGGCACACAGCAGGCACTTTTGGTTCTCTTGTATCTTGTCAACAGTCGCAAGAAGTTTGAATATATGCAAGCACATATGAAATGTATTGTATTGTAAGACAGAAGAATAGACGTTAATGCTGCTTTATTATGCTATTTTTGTCCGTTTCAGAGTTCAGTAGCCCACTGTACACCTTGAATTTATGAAAAACGCCAGCTCAGACTTTCTGCAAAACTCGTCTTATTTTATGTGCCATGGAAAAAAAAATCCACATGGTCTCATAAACAACACAAAGGTATGTTTTCATTTTTGTTTTAATAATTAATTAAGCTGAAGGTATGAATTATTCAAAATTTAAAATAATGGAAAAAAAAAATACAAAAAAAAAAAAAATTTTTTATTTCAGCTAGTTGCCAAAATAACTACAACTAAAATTGAAATAACAATTAATAAAATTTATGTAGACATATTTTAAAAAAACTTTCAAAACTCATTAAAAATATTAAGAAAAACTATAATAGTGTCTTAATGATACTAAAATAACACTGTGCAAAACAAAGTATTACCAATGGATTAGATTAATTCTATGTGTTGTGGTATTATTTGGTTTGCCACACCTTAATAATAAAAAATCTAATAAAATGATACAAACAACTTTAACATCAAACATTTGGTTTAAAATATTAAACTTATTTTCAAGTTGACGCCTTCATGTAAGCTAATAGTGAATCCATCAATGAGCAATGACTAACTTTATCTCTTTATGAATATCCTGTTCATTTTCTTGTGTTAAAGTGCCATTATAAGTCTCAGTCGAGCATGCATGTGATCAAATAACAGTTTTACACATTGCAATTCAAATATTATTCAGTAAACCTCAATATAACCAATACATGTAATGAATCTATCTGAATAAATCGAAAAGATATTTTCAAGCACAAACAGACTCACGGTGTGTTGAGGAACAGCTCGTCAGTGTGTGTGCATGCGTGTGTGTATGATGTGTTGTTCACGCTGATGACTTTATCTATTTATATTTATAATCTGATTCATGCGGCTCTAAACACTCTTTCTTCAGGATCCTGATCAGGAAGCACCACAGAAGAAACCATATAAGATCATCTGGTGAGAAGATCCTCAGTAATATCACACTGATTATAACCCAATCCAGACAGAGAGAAGATTCTGCTCATTTCCACACGCTGCAGTCGCCCTCATCTGTGTCCGAGTAACAGCGTCTCAAATTAGACAAGCTCATTCCCACAGCGGCAAGATAAAAATACATCAGCTCTCAAAGTCAACACTTCACCCTCAACACAAGGGACTTCATTTGCTCTGCTAAATATATAGTTTATTTAATTATATATATACAGTATATGTATATATACAGTATACACACACACACACACACTGTGTATATATATATATATATATATATATATATGGTCAATAAGATTTTTATTGTTTTTTAAAGTCTCTTATTCTTTAAAGTTCTTTAGAGTCTCAAAAATACAGAAAAAACAGTAATATTGTAATATATTATTACAATTGAAAATAACCATTTTCTATTTTAATATAATTTAAAATATAATTTATTCTTGTGATGCAAAGCTGATTTTTTTGCATCATTACTCCAGTAAAAAGCAGCTTTCCAGCAAAGCAAATGAACTCACTTGTGTATAAAACTACAGAAATAAAATGTACAGTAAAATATCAAGTCAACGTGAAATCAAGATGAACTTTATTTGTTTTTATACATTATAATAGAATTAATTATTTTCATTTCATTGTTTATTTAAAAAGCACATTTAAAAACAACCCAAGGTTGACCAAAGTGCTGTACAGGGACAATATGATCGATAAATAAAACGTTTGTTTTAATAATGTTTATCTAAAATATTAAAATAATTTAATATATTTAGTCATTTATCCATTATTAAAATATTTAGTCATTGTATTAGGCTGTACATAAAGTAAGGCTGTGCTTAAAAGCAGTCGGTTCAGCATTTTATGTAGATTTTACGTATTAAACATACATTTTTTAATATTTATTTTAAGCTTTAAAAATGTGTAACGTAATGTGATGTACAGTATCTGTGACACGGCGTGAATCTGAGGTGTTTTGGTCCTGTTGTATATAGCGTGTGATGGTCCAGAGGCTGCTGTATATTTACTGGAGGTAGTGTGTTGTGTTTGTGTGAGTATTTGTGAGAGACTGTATTTTTACTAAACTGCTCAATGGCATTAATTAAGTCAAATGGCATGATATATCTGTTTTTTTGTTTTTGTTTTTTTGTTTTTGTTTTTTTAATCAGATTTATAGCAAACCCTTTTCACCTTTCACCGACGATCTCTCTGTATCATACTGTGTATATACTCTCTGAAAGTGCATAGATATGTTTGCATATGAAGTGCATGTTCAAGTCTTTCACTGCGGTCCAAATTAACAGTATTTACCCAAAACCCACTGAAATATTAACTGAATAGACATGTCAGATATCTCTGCAGTGATCGATTGCCATCATTCATGCCTTCAGTGGATGCTGGAAGCATCTTCACCGGCTCTTAGAAGTCCATCATCCTAACCATCCCTAATAAGTGACTGACTGAGACACTCAATATAGGGCGCAACTCTGTGTGTTAATAGAGGAGACTGAGATATGCTTAACACAAATATTGGTTGCAATAATCTGCATTTTTAACTACATATATATAAATACAAAAGAATCTAGTTAAAATGGACTATTGCAACCAATATTTGTGTGTGATAAGCATAATATGTTTTTTTATTTAAAAGAATAGTTCACCCACACATGAAAATCTACTCACCCTCAAGCCATCCCAGATGTAGATGAGTTTGTTTCTTCATCATATCCGGAAAAATGAAGCATTTCAGCAATGGATGCTCTGCAGTGAATGGGTGCCGTCAGAATGAGAGTCCAAACAGCTGATAAAATTCAGCAAATTTTCATTTTATGGTAAACTATTCCTTTAAGAAAAGAAAATAACTTTTTCTTTTGCATAAGCTCCGCCCACAATCATATCTCATTGGTCCAAATTCCAGCTCCACGTTACTGTAAGCATCACATATTGATTGCATTTATGTTTTCGCTTTCAGTGTGGAGAATCAAAGCACTTGTCACATGTGGCCTGGTTAGGACGCAGTGTTACGATCATTCATCACGTGATCAGTCCTGTAGCTGTTTGCTCAGAGCAGGACACATCGTCTGTGCTTCTTCTTCCTCTGCAGGTCCAGGTCCAGCAGCAGAGCCAGGAAGTTTCTGTTGGGATAGATGGCTCGTTTCTGGATGACGCGCCGTATGGCCGCGTGCAGAGGCATGTCATGATAGAGCATCATGTACGCCAGCACCAGCGACGAGGAGCGGCTCATTCCCATGATGCAGTGCACCAGAACTTTTCCTATGGAGGAAGGCAGAGATCTGGTTACGTACAGACTTTATGGTTTTAATAGAAGACGTGACAGCAGCCTCTCATTCTTGCCTGTTCCTCGCTGGTAAAAATAACACCCACAATTCATTGCAATAAATCATTTGAAGGCCTTGAGCTCACTGCTATTAATACAGCTGTTTCTACAGACACTGCAGACGAGACGCACCTCCAGAGTCCAGCAACACTTCAGCCTCAGATAAGATGTTTTAATGCTTTTGAAAGAGTCTCTTCTGCTCACCAAGGCTGCATTTATTTGATCAAAAATATAGTAAAATTGTGAAATATTATTATCATTTAAAATAGCTGTTTTCTATGTGAATACCTGTTAAACTGTAATTTATTTCTGTGATGCGCAGCTGTATTTTCAGCATCATTACTCCAGTCTTCAGTGTCACGTGATCTTCAGAAATCATTCTAATATGCTGATTTGCTGCTCAAGAAACATTTCTGATTATTATCAGTGTTGAAAACAGTTGTGCTGCACAATATTTGTGTGGAAACTGAGATACATTTGATTTTTCAGGATTCACAGACGAATAGAAAGTTATACATTATACATTATAAATGTCTTTACTGACACTTTTCATTAATTTAATGCATCTTTGATGAACAGATAGTATAAATGTCTTTAAAAAACATATTTTTAATGGAAGTGTGTGTGCACATGTAAAGTGCAAATTTTCTTGAATGAATATGTCTTGATATTTTTACTAGAATCAAGACAAAAAATACTTAATAAAATAGTATTTGCAAAATAAAAATAAAAAATCATTTGCAACCTATTTTACTTCAGTAATGTATTACAAGTGAAACTGGACATTCAACGCTGACAAACTGTAGGACAAGACTTGATTTTCTGCTGTTACACATATTTTGACCTGAATGTAGAAACTGAAGGATTATTTCACTCTCCAGAGCATCTCCATGTATCCAAAAAATAAATAAAAAAATATAATTAAATAAATATTTTTATATATATTTATTTGATATGATTGTTGAATTTATGAAGATTTCTGACAGGCTGCATCAGCTACAGATTCAGCCTAAATGCCTAAATCACCATTTGGCTATTGGTTATCACATATAACCTACATGACGTCACCCGACATTAAAAGTCTTCACAGAGGCGGTGCAATTACATTTTATGGAAGATTATGAAGATTTTATTTTGAATAACATGCACTGATTAATCACACACAGTCCAGGAGCATGTTTAGAAAGTAATTCGGGTCAAGACTAGTGCACAAGCTATTTTTCTTCTGTGAGTGAATTCTTCAGCCATTTCTTACCGTCAGGAGTGTTGAGAGCTTTGTGAATGAATTCTGCTGCCGGTTTGAAGTAAACGTCCAAATCGAAGTGTGTGGAGTCGTCAGCGGGGATCCCGCAGTACACAAAACTAGTGCCGTAGTAGTTCTGGTCCCCGATGCTTCCTCTCTTGGTGTGAGCGGCGTTCAGAATGTGAGTGATGCCGAGTTTCTGCAGGCCGCTTCGGTTCTGTGCTATTCCTCTGACGGGAAAAATAATATAGAAGATGGTTAGAAATGACCTCTATGGTCACATATCAATATCAAAATGGGCCTGGTTTACTTTCTTACTTTTAAGAGTTCAACCAAATTTCACCTCCGTTCCAGTCAAAGAGTTATTTTAGTATCATTGATAGATCATAAATAACATTTAATTTTAGTTTATTCTTTTTTGTATTAATAATTTGTTTTGTTTTTTTAGTACATTTTAGTTTTTGTCATTTTTAGGATCATTTTTTAAATATGTGTATATAGTTTTTATTAGTTTTACTTTTATTCCGTTTTGTTATTTAAGTACTTCAAGTTAAACTACATGAAAATGAGAAATACTGCCTAGGCAACTTGCTGAAATAAAATAATTATTCATAATCATATATTTCATATATTTTTTATATATATATATAAAAAAAGTACATTAAAAACATTTTAAAAAATAAATAAATAAATAATGATATTTCAAGCTTTTTTCAAGTAATACATTTTTTTTATGGTTTTAGTTTTATTTAACTGTAATAACACTTTTTCTAGTATAACTTTCACCATCCAATCAATTTCTGATGAATAAAATGTCCTAAAATATTGTCCCAAAAGAATAAAATGACAGATAAAAGTCCTGCCTTATTTTATCTCAGAAATGCATCAGTTTATGGAAGTCAAATGTGTTGTGAACGTATAGTTTAGAGTTGTCTGTTGATCTCAATATGTAGATCAGTGTTGTGAAGTCTATTTGAATAAGCCGTCACATTTAAAACAGCATGAATATGATTTTTAGCTGTCAAACCGAAGACTCGAGCAGCTCGTACGTTCTCGATGTACAGGTTTGGCCAGACCTCATCGATTTGGTGCAAGTTTAACTTACACGAGTCCAAAACTTTCTCCAGGTCCTTGACTGACAGATACTCTTTCCTGCTATATTTACGGGCCATCGCTTCTTTCCTGAATTACCCGCCAAATAGATGAAGAGAGCGTGTTTATAATGATCCCACACAACAGCTGTTACCCAGTTTAGTGCTTCAGTGAGCAGATAGTCTTACTCACGGAGACACACTCACACGCTCCACAAATCCACTGCAAACAGACAAATCTGATCTGGATACCCTCCATCATAGTTTATAATGAGAACATCTGTCAAACTCCAAAAAGGCATACAAAATTGAAGTCATTATTCACTGATAATCTTCGGAAATCTTTTTCACTTTTGCATTCAGATTCAGAAACTGATGCATTGTAAATCATGCAGCTCTGCTTTTTGTAGATTATCAGACATTATAAACTCTATGCACACAGAAATGAAGATATTAAAAAAAATATCCTGTTGTTTTTCACAGATAAAATAACAGCACATAGGTGTGGAACGACGTGAGGGTGAGTAAATTTTGAAATATAAGAAATATTATTCTAAACATTTTGGTAATGCCAGTAAAAAAATGAATGAATAATTATCTGTGAGCAAATATAACAAAACATCCAAATGTACAAAACTAAAAAAAAAAAAAATGAAGAAAAATGACTGTTTACACAAGCTTGTAACGATATGAGGGTGAGTAAATAATGACAGAATTTTATTTGTTTGGGCGAATTATTATTAAGTGATTTAAAAAAAAAATATTATTCTAAAATGTTGGTAATGCCAGATTAAAAAAACGGAGTGAATGAACAAACAAATAAATGCATAAATAAATAAAAATGAGCGAACAAATAAATAAATAAATATCTGTGGGCAAATATAACAAAACAGCCAAACATAAATTTCATTTACACAGTTTTGTAACGACATAAGGTAAATATGACATGGAGTCAATAATGACCAAATTTTCTTTATTGGATGAATTATTGAGTGAAATTACGAAATATTATTATAAACATTTGGTCATGCCAGTGGGAAAAAAAAAAAAATATATATATATATATATATAATTTATTTATCTATATAAACTTTTTATCTACAGAACTTTTATTTTATTATTTTTTTTTTTTATTATAGTGAAATTTTGAAATATTCTAAAGAGTTTGATTAAAGCCACAATAAATACATTAATTAATAAATAAAAAATCAATCAATCTGGCTGTGGGCAAATATAACAAAACACCCAACTAAATAAAAAAGAAAAAGAAAAAAATGCTTTAATGATTATAACAAAAAATATATATGATAATAATAATAATGGAGACTTTTACTTTTTTACTTTTAAATATATAATAAATCTTAAGTAATTAATTACATTTTACTACTAATCTTGCTACACTCTTAAAAACAAAGGTTCTTTATTGGTGTTGATGGTTCCATAAAGAACCGTTCACATGGAACATTTCAATTGAACAAAAGGTTCTTTATAGTGGAAAAATGTTCTTTAGGTTCTATTCACACTAAAAACGGTTGAATTAAGAACTGCTCGCTGAAAGGTTCTTTGGGGACCCCAAAATGCATCTTCTATGGCATTTCTGCGATAACCCTTTTAGGAACCTTTATTTTAAAGAGTGTAACATGTACTTGAGTCCTCTTCTAAAGACAGCCTGACACCGGCTGGTGCTGCTGGAATGCTGTTGGTGTTTATCTGCAGCATTCAGATCAGCGTAGAGTCGCATCCAGAGCCCGCAGCTGTTTGAGAAAGCCTCGGTTTGGGAAGATCCAGCGGTGCTGTTTGACCGCTTTAATAGCCTCCAGCAGAGAAAGATGCTGGTGTATCATGAGATGAGCCAGAACCAGAGACGCCGAGCGACTCACACCGACCGCGCAGTGAACCAGAACACGCTCTGCAGACAACAACAGAAGGACATGTTATATCTCTATAGCCCTCAAACATGAAATCTGACATCTCGGCTTGGATTTGAGGATTCAAGCTTGTCGAACAGAATAATATTTATAGTTTGCAGGCCTACATTTTCAACTTAGATTTTTCAATTTCTTTTCAAGAATCGGCTAAAAGCACATCTCTTCCATCTTTATTTAACTCTAGCACTCTCTATTCTAATTCTATTCTTTAAAAAACAAAAAAACTAACACTAGCTTCTCTAATTTTTTTGTATTCTATCTATTTGTTTTCATTTTATTTATTATACAATTAACAAAAGCAAAAAAAGGCCTCTAACACTATCTTGCTCTATTCTGTTTCTATTCTATCTGTTTGCTTTTTATTTATTTAAAGTTAACTGAGACTTGTTATAGCACTTGCATATCACTGCTCTTTTATTGATTTTGATTGCTTCCATTGTCCTCATTTGTAAGTTGCAGTCAAAGGTTCTTTAAAGAACCATCTCTTTCTTACCTTTGTATAATCTGAAGAACCTTCTTTCGCCACAAAGATGCTTTTGTGAAACAGAAAGGTTCTTCAGATGTTAAAGATTCTTTATGGAACCATTTAGACAAAAAAAGGTTCTTCTATGGCATCGTGAAGCACCTTTATTTTTAAGAGTGTAAACCCAAGCCGAGACAGTTTTACCTCCTGGAGAACTGAGAACCTCCTTTATATAATCAGCGCAGGGGTGAAAATAAACCGACAAGTTAAACGATGGTGAATCGTCAGCGGGGACGCCGTAATACTCGACTGTTGAGCCGTAAAACTGGTGGCTACCCTGGCAGTGCATCTTCCCGTGAGCGGCGTTCAGGACACGAGTGATGCCCAGCTTCCACACACTGAAGCGGTCGTTGGCCACAGACCTGCAGATCAGTAATATACAGCTGTTAAAACATCAGACGGGCCCCAGAGCACGCAGACTTTTTTTGATCCCCATAAAATCAAACTCATCTAGAAAATAAGTATCTGACCAAATGCTGCTGAGAGGTTAATGTGGTGTGCGATTATGAAAAAGGAAAGAATTATTCTTCTACATTCAGCTTTATATTGTTTGGCATTGTACACAGACAGCATTTCTGGGCACGTTATGTGGATTTGAAAGTACAAAACTGCAAAAAATGCTGGCCAAAACTGCTGTCTAGCAAGGTAGGCACATTATGTTTGAAACACAGCTTACAATTCAACAGTTATATTAGTTTTATTGATACACACACACACACAGACACACACACACACACACAGACACACACACACACACACACACACACACACACACACACACACACATGTATATTCACATGTAAATATTTTCTAAATATATACTGAATGTGTGTGTATTTATATATACATAATAAATATACACAGTACACACATATATTATGTACACAAAAACGTTTATTTTGGATGCGATTAATCATGATTAATCGTTTGACAGCACTAGTATTTTTTCCATTTTCATTTTGATTTGAATTAGTTTTAGTAGTTGTGTTGTGCTTTTGTCATTTTATTAGTTATGGCTTTTTTAAATGTCTATATAGTTATTTTTTTATTTAAACATAAAAAACCAAAAACTACTAAAAATGACAAACACAACAAAATTATTAATGTAAAATTAAATTGCAATATAAAAAATATAACAATAAAAAGTTCAAATATTAATAAAATATTTTTTACAAATGTTCATATAAAGATATATATATATATATATATATAAAATAGTATCTCAATACTGAAATAACACTGATGTATAGGTTTTATTCATTTTAATTTCAGTATGTTTTAGTTATTTTAGTTCACGAAATGAAAATGAGAAATGTTGCTTGGTAACTATAGCTAAAATAAAATATGTTTTTATTTCAGTTAATGTTTATTTTATTTCAAGTAATGAAAGTGGTTTTAGTTTTAGTTATAACTCTGTGACTCACATATCACCCAGGAAAAGGTTGGGCCAAACTTCATCCACATGATTTCCGCTCCTCTTCCCTCCGAACAGTATTTTCTCCAGTTCCTTAATGGAGGGAGTTTCACAGCTAGCATCCATTAGAAAGACTCATCATGGATCTCTGTGTCTATGATATGACCACAAACACAACCTCCACATCTACTGCGTCTCTCTGCTAAGATGTGCATCTCATATCTGCTGCTGTCCAGTATGAGCAGATACATTTATCTGAAGTGACAGGAGCAGCTGCAGCTGGTCTTCTAAAATTAACATTTAGTAATGCACTAGTGTTCACCCAGGACACCCTAGTAAGTGCACAATCACCTTAATGAGTTTGCATGAACACTAACCACATTTAGACAATGCTGCTTTAAAGAAATAATTACAGTTAATTAAACAAATTAAACCTGACTAAACAGGTTGAGAAGCCATGACTTCAAACATTAAAGCCATGAGAAACCCACCAGCGCTCTGAATAAAAGAGCTGTAATTACGCTGTAATTCCATCGCTGGCCAGCGGATGTCGCTGTGCGCTCGGCAGCGGAAGTGACCTCATCTGCAGTATTTACACACTGAAACTGAAACACACTTCCACAGCTGTCAGATCGACTGTGCTCGTCTAGCCGGGTCAGGGCGCGATGATTTACCACAAACGTCCCGACAGAGTGACATTTAGGAGATTTATCGCGATTCGGACCGAAGAATCTGATGTGTAACGTAAGTGAAGCGCAGCAGGCTAACCGCTAGCATGCTAACACACTCGCATGCATCTGAAATATCATATTAATACTAGAGTGATGAATTGTAACTGGCGTATGAATCCAATGTCAGGTTCGTTCTTTGTTTTATTTTCATTTTTTATTGTTGTGATAGGTCTATGAGTGAGACATGTTAGTCGTGTAGTGTCTTTATTCAAAGGCATTTGCAGATTTAAAGTGGCACACTGAATATTCATGTCATTTAGTGATTTTTAATATTTTGTGTTATGATTATAAGCCTCGTTTACCTCAGTCAGACGGTCATTTAATGATTTAAGTCAGCTTCAGATATCACAAAGCAGTTGTTAAATCTAGTTAATCTAACCTAGTTAAACAACATTTTGTGTAAAATGCTTTCTAAGTAGACAGCTCACTAGGTTTTGAGACACATCCAGTGTTATTCTAACAGGTTGGCTTTTCCTTATCAGCAAGCTTGTCTGTATCGGGTATTGATTAAAGTCCTTAGTGTAACGAGCTGAGAGACATAATTATACCTTAGGGTACTTGACTAACAGGCTCATATTACTTTACTGTTGTTTTCTTGTGTCTGATAACACGGCCTTATTAAGCTTTGCTGCGGGAGGGCGTGGTTAGCGGTGGGCGTGGTGAGTGTGGGTGTGGCCACATGTTGGTTCGACAGCGTTGGGCGTGGCTTCTACTGTGATAATGTTGATATAAACTTAGAATTGTCACTTTTTTGCTCACAATTCAAAATTTACATTTTACATTAGTTTCCCCCACAGAATAACAAATAAAAAAGGTAATTGCAACTCGACTTATTTTTCTTGCTGTTGCAACTTTATATCTCACAATTTAGACTTTTGTTCTCAGAATTTCAGGTTTCCTATATCAAATACAAGTAATAAACCCACAATTCTGACTTTTTTTCTCAGAAATGTGAGTTTATATGTCGCAATTCTGAGTTTGTATCTCACAGTTCTGTTTTTTGTTTTCAGAAATGCAAATTGTGAGGGGGGGAAAAAACAAAATTGTGAGATAAAAAGTAGCAGTTAACTTTTTTATGCAAGTCTTTTTTCTACTTTTATGGTATACTTTTCTAAATTCCTTTCCAATTTTGAGTAAAATAAGTAGTAAATACATTTATTCTGATGGGATTGAAAAATAATGTTTATTATCAGCAACTTGACCTGCTCTAGAATGTGAAACAAGATGAATTTGTTTGATAAAATAACACCAGTGACAACTGCAATAGTGCGGTCACTGTCTTTATTTCAGTGAAGGTCATTTTCTGACATTTATGATGTTTACTCTTTACTTACTGATTTTTTATGCAAACTATGCAAAGTCTGATACAGACATGCACATGTTCAGATGTGATTTCACATGCATCTCTGTATTGCATGTGCCTAAAGCTGTATTTGAGCTGCTTCTTTTGGGGAGAAAAAGACTATAAAGTCACTGCACTGTCATAAGACTGAGGACGCATGATGATGCAAAGCTGTTAGACGGTTGGTCAACACGTGTGCTGCTGAGCTGTGAGGGTTCGCCGGCGTGCAGCGGTGTTTTACTGATGTGTCAGTAGATCTGTGGCTGTTTCAATCAGGAAAAGAGGATGTTTCCTCACATCTTACACTGATGCCAGCACAAACGGCTCAGTGTTTCATCTGTGAGTGAGACGTCAGCAAAAAAAAAGACCTGTTTCTGTTCCTGTGGTGTGTTAAAATGAAACGTTATATTGGGTGGAAAGTAGTTCGTGTAAGTGTGGTTGTGTTTCTAAGCATTACAGATCTGTTGCTTCGGAGCAGAGTTAACAGACGTCCAGAGGTGAAAGACAGACACGCTGAGTGTTTTCTGAGAGCTAATGAACCGAGATTCAGAACAGAACAAGATGTATTCAGACCTACTTTTTGAACTCTTTCTATGCCAGCGGTTCTTGACCTTTTTGTCTCCTTTTGTCCATAACAATAATTGAAGGCCGGCAGTCATAGTTTCTGACCATTAAGTTCCAGGATTCCAGAAGTTTTAAGAGCCGAATGTTTTTCTGGATTCTTTTTAAAGGGGTCATATGATGCGATTTCAAGTTCCCTTTAAGTAATGAATTTGCATTAGTTTTCCAGTCGTCCATGATTTACTGGGTAAATGAGTACAAATATTTGTACTCGCTATTTCTACCTGAATAAAAAAAAAATATATATATATACTGCACATTGGCATAACAAGAATTGCCCTTAACACTGTAACAAACTATGTGATTAATAAGTCAAATTTTTTGTTGTTATTATTATTTCTTTGATCAAGAATATATTTCTTTAACTATTTAAAATAATTAACCAATTTCAACTTCATTTTTTAAGTTATATGAGATTCAATTTAATTGAAATTTGTAAATTTAATGCAATTTAATTTGAAATGACTTCTACAGCCAATTTGATTACTCAAAAAAATGAAGGCAGCATGTGAACTCTGTAGGTGGAATTCTTTTTACCGTGTTAAATTAACATGACTGTACAAGGTCTAGAAATCACACTTAAAGGGGTCATATGATGCTTTTTTAAAGATCATTATTTTGTGTATTTGGTGTAACAGAATATGTTGACATGCTTTAATACCACATATATCCAAGTTTTCCCAAGACTGTAGGAATAATAGTTCTTCAAACGCAAAAACAGGTATTAAGGGGTTGAATTAAAATAAGAAATATCTTAGTTATTTTAGCTTATTTTAATGCTTGTTTTGTCTTATTTTAAATCATTTTAAGTCTTGAGAGCCCCTTATGTTTGAGAATCAGTGCTTTCAACATGTCTGCTAAATTACATTTTAATTTTTTTCTTTGTTTTTTTCTTTATTATTGTTTTCTTTTTTATAATTTTTTTTTTTTTTTTTTTGCATTTATGAGCAAATACATTTTTCTTCCATACTAAGTAATTGACCTATAATTTGTCAATGCAAAGTCTGATCTTCATGAAATTGTTCACGTGACAAATGAACAAAATGACTTGGACCAGAACACAGTAGCAACATGGAATCTAATCATAATTATCTCAGGCTGCATTATAACTATTTCCTAATTCGGAATATGATCAAAGGTTGCATATGTGAATGTGTTCAATTTTTTTCAACTCGGCATAAACTAACAAAATGAATGAAATTACTTGTTTTTGGCCGAACAAGCTTCAGACATCATGTCAGTAAAACGACCTGATTTTAATAAACAGCAGGAACATATGAAGAAATCTTACAAAATGTAATGAGTTTCAGTGCTAGCAGGGGCAATAACTAGAAGACTTCAGGAAGTATTCAGCTGTGTGTTGCAATTAATTCTCAAAACAATTGCATCCACAGCATCTACTCATTCAAATTTGGCATTTTTCATTGTTTTCGCCACACAGTTCATCGGGCACAGGCAGTTTTTCACGTCTAAAAAATACAGCATACTCCGACGGTTCCTTAATGAACGAGTTGGTTACTGGCCAGATAATCAAAGCTCAAGCCAAGAAGCAAAGCTGGGTTCAGTGCTTCAAATCCGTAGTAGTGCACAATCATGAGATCTTATGCTGTGAATGTGGCCTGTTTTACTCGAGTATCAGCATATGTGCTAGTTTACATCTGGATGTGATGTGCAACTCAAAAGTATGAAGAAGCAGGTGGTGCAAGGATGAAGAATAGCTCATTATATGTTATTGTTATTTACATATACACCACCAGTCAAACGTTTTTGAACAGTAAGATTTTTAACGTTTTTAAAAAAAGTCTCTTCTGCTCACCAAGCCTGCATTTATTTGATCCAAAATACAGCAAAAGCAGTAATATCAGAATAATGCTGATCTTTGGGTCTTTCTGTTCATCAAAGAATCCTGGGGGGAAAAAATGTACTCAACTGTTTTAAATATTGATAATTTCTTGAACAGCAAATCAGCATATTAGAATGATTTCTGAAGATCATGTGACACTGAAGACTGGAGTAATGATGCTGAAAATACAGCTTTGATCACAGAAATAAATTACAGTTTAACAAATATTCACATATAAAACAGTTATTTTAAATAGTAAAAATATATCACAATATTACTGCTTTTGCTGTATTTTGGATCAAATAAATGCAGGCTTGGTGAGCAGAAGAGAGTTCTTTAAAAAAAAAAAACATTAAAAATCTTACTGTGTATGACACAAAAGTTGTTCCTGCCGGCTTCTTAGTCTTGGTCTTTCTGTCTTCAGTTCCTGTGAGAGCATGCGTGAGCGAGAGATGGCCGGTAGTGTCCGGCACTGGACCCCGAAGCACGTGGGCCGCTGGCTGCGTGAAGAGGGCTTCTGCGATTACGTGGACCTGCTGTGTAACAAACACCGTCTGGACGGAACCAGCCTGCTGACGCTGAGCGAGTACGACCTGCGCTCTCCTCCGCTGGAGCTCAAGGTCCTGGGAGACATTAAACGGCTGATGGTTTCTCTCCGGAAGCTGCAGAAGCAGAACGCAGACGTGTTAGAGGAGCTCGGTCTGTCCTACGACGGACACTCGCCTCAGAACAGCGCAGGTGCTCTTTCTGTTCCTGTTTTTGTCAAGTTTGTTGCCAGTTTTGTGTGTTTTATGTTGTGCAGGTGGAATGGACTGTACTTGTGTAACGGTAAAATCCTAATTTTTAGGAGGCGTTTACTTTAGAGAGGATGACTTCAAGTGCTTTACTCTACAGACAGCTGAAGCACAACACAATAATTTTAATGTCAAGCTCCAAAAAGACACACAAAACAGCATAAAGGTATTATAAAAAGCAGTCCATGTGACTTATGCACTATATTCCAAGTCTTCTGAAGCCATACAGTATACACAAATGATATAAATTAAGTTTATGGTACTTTTCCAGTTTTGAGTGAAAAATTTAGTCCGTAAATGTATTCTAATGGGACTGAAGAAAATTCAGCAACTTCAGCTGTAAAACAAGATGCATTTAATAGATGTTACGTGGACTTTCAGGGGTTTTACTATATAAACATCTAAAGCACAGCACGATAATTTAAGTACTAATGCTAAAAATATGTCAAGCTCTAAAAAAGACCCCAAAAATATATTATAAAAGGCAGTCCATATGACATATGCACTATATTCTTAAGTCTTCTGAATCCATACATAAACATATATATGGTACTTTTCCAAGTTATAAACTATGTTATGGTTCTTTTCCAAGTTCACTTCCAGTTTTAAGTGAAATATGTAGTAAATTAATTTATTCTGATAGGATTGAAGAAAATATCAGCAACTTTAGCTTTAAAACAAGATGAATTTGGTTGATAAAATTATACCAGAGTGACAATTTCAATAGTGCAGCATTTTATTTAATTTCTGTGAATCTGTTTTTAGACGGCATTTACAGAAGATAGGATGACTTTAAGTGGACTTTCAAGCGCTTTACTATACACACAGCTAAAGTACAGCACAATCATTTAACCATTTGTGCTAAAAACATGTCGGACTCCATAAAAGACACCAAAAATACTATAAAGGTATTACAAAAAGCAGTCCATATTATATATGCACTATATATGTCTTCTGAAGTCATATAAGAACCTAAATTATACAGACAACTTTTATGGTATTTACAAAGTTCATTCTCAATTTGAGTAAAATAAGTAGTCAATAAATTTATTCCAATGGGATCGAAGAAAATATTGTTCATTGTTAGCAGCTTGAGCCGTTTCAGAATGTAAAGCAAGATGAATTTGGTTGATAAAATGACAAAAGCATTCAGCTTTATTTCATTCAAGGTCATTTTTCTTTAAATGTCTTGTTCTCTGTTTACTTAATTATTTCAAATATGTGACCCTGGACCACAAAACCAGTCATAAGGGTCAAAATTTGGCTGAGATACAACTATTTGAAAACCTGGAATCTGAGGGTGCAAAAAAATCAAAATACTGAGAAAATCATCTTTAAAGTTGTCCAAATGAAGTTCTTAGCAATGCATATTACTAATCAAAAATTAAGTTTTGATATATTTACGGTAGGAAATTTACAAAATATCTTCATGGAACATGATCTTTACTTAATATCCTAATGATTTTTGGCATAAAAGAAAAATCTATAATTTTGACCCATACAATGTATTGTTGGCTATTGCTACAAATATACCCCAGCGACTTAAGACTGCTTTTGTGCTCCAGGGTCACATATGCAAAGTGATCCAGATATAGTTTGTGTGTTTGGTGTGGTTCAGGTGGAGTGGACTGGCTGTGTAACGGTGAGTCTGCGCGGGATTGCGATGCCGTGTTGGACACGTTGAGCGGCGATCAGTATCATCAGTACAACAACGGCAAATACAAGCAGCAGCCGCGGAGACTGGACCCCGAGTACTGGAAGACCATCATGAGCTCCGTCTACGTGGTCTTCGTCTTCGGCTTCACGTCCTTCGTCATGGTGATCGTCCACGAGCGAGTGCCAGACATGAGGACGTACCCGCCGCTGCCTGACATCTTCCTGGACAGGTGATATTAAGTTCTTTAAAAGTAACCTGACTGCAAGATCACATTATCCATAAGTTGCATAAAGCCAGCCAATCTCATTGCAGTTAGCGATTTCAGCTAGCATTTTCCATTTTTTTTGTGAACCGTGTGCATCAGATGGTCGTGAACTGCACATGTGAACCATTTTAAGACATTATAGGAATTTTTCTAATGCAAAGTGTGTTCTAAAAGGCAGGCAATATAATTATTTGGCTTTCTTGAATCTCTACATGCATTACAGAAAACATGGTCTGCCATCTTATAATAAAAAAAACACTTGGTCTTGATAAAACCTAATTCTAATTGCCTGTTTTCTCCAATATTGTCATGCATTTCTGCTTCACATGACTAGCGCTATTTCTGTTGTGTAAGACTCAACGCTGTATTTCCTGAAAGAATCATAAGCTAATTTGCACCACGGTTCTCTGCGATCAGCTCACGAGGCTTCTGGGAAACGCAGCCCAGATCAGTCACTTACAGTTTTACATTTCCATTAGGATTCTGCTTTAGAAGCTGCTTTAATTCGGTTTAAACGCTTATTGCATTAGACTTTTTGAATCGACTTAAGGTTTCCCAAACTGGGGTAGGTGATTGGATGAAAAGCTAATAATTAATTAAAACATTCAACTTGCATTAGACTTTTTGAATCGACTTGAACATAAAGGTTTCACAAACTGGGGTAGGTGATTGGATGAAAAGCTAATAATTAATTAAAACATTCAAATTTAAAATAAAAAAATAACTGCTAAAACTACTTACCTGCATGTTACGTGACCATTAACTGTCATTAGAGAACCGTATACATGCGAAAGTATTGTTAAATTATTAACTTTTTTAATATCTTTTTAGATTTTTAAACTTTTTAATAAAAAAGTTTACATCAATCAATGTTTGGGAATTGCATTAAATTCACATTTTTAAGCCATTTCAGAGAAAATGCATAGGAATATCATCTAAAGCCTAAGAAATATGATGATGCCAGGTTTGAGTTGTGCTCCAGCACCCCTAAAACTCATCTGACTCGATTTCTTTTTTCGCTTGCCGATGATTGAGGTTTCTGGCGGCAAAAATAATAGTAAGCAGCTCTGATGGTGAGCTGTACCCATTGATGATCATTTTCTCCATCATGCACCACAGGACCTGGTTAGAGGTTGTTAAATTATTAACTTTTTTAATATCTTTTTAGATTTTTTTACTTTTTAATATAATAATTTTCTCCATCATGCGCCACAGGACCTGGTTAGAGTTCACAGCTGAAGATGAGCACGAAAACATCATAAAATAACAGCATAAATCACTATCTGTTTGGAGGAGGATTATGTTTTGTTTTGGCTCTGTCTCTCTTTATGACCTTTCACCTGCTTCTCTTCTCCCTCCAGTGTACCCAGAATCCCCTGGGCATTTGCGATGGCTGAGGCCTGTGGCGTGATCCTCTGTTCTGTTTGGCTGCTAGTTCTGCTGCTTCATAAACACAGGTAACAAACATATGCACACATTTATAATATATGCATGCATTTATACACAATATATACTTACAAAATATATGCATGCATGCATTTATTTTTTACAGCTGTTGCATGTAATTTATTGCATAAAATACTAAAATCCTGCACATAGGCAAGACACCAAAATGGGACATCTCGTACACAATTTTCAGGAAATAATTATAAATAATTATTTGTCTCTTTTGGCATAAATATCACTTAGTGTGTGTTTTTTTTTCTTGTCCAAACAAACCATTTCCAACAGTAGTGCAATGAAAGTCATTTCAGAGGTGGAGGGAATTATTACATTTCAATGAAAGATTATGAAGACGAACATTTTTCTCCCGTAGAATAATGAAACATGCACAATAGTAGCAGGAATGTGTGTTGAGAATGTGTGTTGAGAATATTAGGTTTGGACACCGACAGCAGCAGCATCTCTTCATCTGACGCTCACAGAAAGCAAAGGTTAGGCCATCAAAGAGGCTTTTATCCCTGACCCTGTGTTTCTGTCAGGTCGATCCTGTTGAGGCGGTTGTGTAGTCTCATGGGGACGGTCTTCATGCTGCGCTGCATCACTATGTTTGTGACGTCTCTCTCTGTCCCGGGGCAACACCTGCAGTGCACTGGGAAGGTGCGGACATCAACACACACACACACACACACACACACACACACACTTTCTGATCCATAACCCAGTAAACTACATGAAGACTGTTCTGAAAGATAACGATGAGATTGCATTACATTTGTCCTTCATGGAGAAGCAGATCCCAGAAGCGTTTTCCTTCTCCAGTGAACGTTCCTATGCCTCATCACAATTACTTTTGATCCTAAAATATTTACTTTGATTCCCCTTGACATTTTTTATTAATATTAGGTATTAATAAAAATAATACTAATATTTTAATCATTTAACAACACATTTGCATGTTCATAGTTTGCTGATGTCACTTAATTGTCACTTGACATACAGGTAAACAAATAAAATGCTGCATCTTTTTATAAGTGTTAATGGTTTTAATTGTAAGATTATTTATTTTAATTTTTAGATATTTATTTATTTAATTAATTATTAGGTTTTAAAAACTCATCAACACCCTGCAATAATCTGGCACTTTTTTTTTTACATAAAGATTTTTGTAAATAAAAATAAACTAAAGATTTTAGTATTATTATTATTATACATTTTCTGAATACTTATTCCAATGAGAGTAAAAATAAATATGGTACTAAAATTATTTTTATTTTAAACAACTTAAATTAAAAGTATGTGTATATATAACATTTTTGTTGCATAAAGAATTTTTTTTGCATTATGAAATTGTTTTCATGACACATTTATCCTAATTTATTATTATTATGCAATTCTAAATGTTCTCAACTTTTAAAATGGCTTAAATTATAACCTATCTATCTATCTATCTATCTATCTATC